CATGCTGCGAAGCGCTTTCTGCTCAGGCAGCTGCGTGTCTCTCCAGGAACCGACGTGGAGGTGCCCTCGCCAGGTGGTGGGTCTCTGTCTGGCCTCAAGTCCCTTCTATCCGCCTTTCCCTGCCCGCTTAGACCGCGGAGGCCTCCAAATTCCTGGGAGGACCACCCCGGGGCTTCCTGAGGCGGGTCCCAGATTGAGAAAGCGGTTAGTGCCTTTGGCCCAGATCAGTTTACCTTGTTACGGAGAAACGCACTCTTGGAGGTATTGAAACGGGCCGGTCCCTGGTCTGAGAAGTGGGCACATAACACTCTTGTTCTCTCTGGAAAGGAGAGACCTTCAGCTTGCGTCCGGGCCCTGAGCGCTGCAGGCCCCCGCCGGAAGGTTTCAGCCTCGGAGCGGCCCGGGGCTGCGGCTCCGCTCGAGCACCTGGGGCCAGAGGCGGAAGGACAGGTCGCGCAGCACTAGGTGCCCCCCTCCCAGCAGAGTCTGGGGCGGAGCTCAGGGAGAGGGCGCTCTGTGGAATGCTCCCCACCTTGGGCGAAGGCCGGAGCGTCTCCTCCCCAGCGCAGACCCAGGCCTCCTCGCCTCCCCGCCACCTTCGGCATCCCCAGCCGTCCTCCAGTTCTTTCCAGCCTTTCCCCACTGCATGACCTTCTCGCTCCTTCCCAAGACCGGAGGTGGCCCCCCACCCTTCCCTCATCCTTCCCCCACCTTTCCCCCCAACTTGTAGCACAGCGTTTAGGAGAGTGGGGGCGGAGGCGGTGGAGACCTCCTACCTGAAACTTCAAGTTCAATGGCAAAGCCCCTGACCCTTCCCTCCCATTCGATCTCCTCCCCTCCAGGCACCGGCAGACTCTCTCCTTTTCTCATTCTGGGGGCGATTGAACTCTTGCTGTAGCCAAACCCTCTCTCACTTCGGGGGCAATTTAGGGGAGGGAAGCCCATGGTGGAACTCTTTCCTCCGTCTGCTCGACCACCCTCACTCCCTTTCCAGACAGAGGTAACTTGTAGCCGACAGAGTCCGAAAGGCTGGCATCAGGTCGCCCCAGGATGTTTTTAAGTCTCTCTCCAGGCCCAGATCTGCGCCGACGGGGGCGGGGGGGCGGGAGGGGAGCGGAGGGGTGTCCCACTCGGGTGAGAGGCGGAGAGCCACTCTACTGCTTCCTCCCCCCTCTCCTGGAGAGGAACCGTTCAAGTGGGGGAGAATAGGATATAAATTTCTTCCAGAACAGCAGAACCGTCTCCTTCTGCCCCGGTGCAGCAGGCACCTCCGCGCTCTATTGCAGGTTTACGCATCTAATCCACGATCTTGGCTCCGGGGTTTCAAGGAGACAGGACGGGGGCGGGGGCACAGAGAGTTTCCCCCGAAGGAAACCAAATTAAAGTGTTGCACTTGGGCCTTCGCATAAAACATCAATGAAGGGAAGGAGGGGAGGGCAGTTTGCTTGAGTCGGAGGAGGGGAGAGTCGGAGGAGGGGAGCCGGGCCGCTGGGAGAACTGGGGGGCGGAGGGGGCTCGATCAGTCTTTTTCCAGCCTCAGGGGCAACTTCCCGCTCTGGAGCGACTCCCGGGAGGGGTGGCTGGGGCGGGGGACACCGCAGCCCGCGGAGTCCAGAGCTGCCGTAAGCGTTCGCCAGCGTGAGTAGAGGACCCCAGGGCGGGAGCCCCCGCCTGGCTCTTCGCTAGGCTGCTGCGGGGATTTAGATTCGAAAAGAGTTTCCGGAGGTCGCGTCTACGCACTTCTCCACCACTACCCCCCAAATCGGCCTCTGGAAGCCTAATAAAAATAACAACTGCTTTGGAGTTAGAAGTGATTTTGGCCGTGGAGCCGGCGTAGACGCGACCCTCCGATCCGATTAGGACGCTTGCTGAGACTCACAGGCCGAAATGTTTGGCTCGGAGTGAGAGCGTGTGGAGCGCAGCTCTGAGAACAATTACGCCTCGGTAGTGGATAAAGACGCCTGGTGTATTTTCAGGAGTATATTTGGGCACTTCTACATGCATTTGTTCATGAGATTGTCTGAATTTAGCCATTTATGAACGTTGTGCTCACATGTTTCAGTCTGGATAATTTTTAGCAAAACACGCTCCCCGGGATCTAAAAATGGCCCTACTCAGAAGCAAATCGCTGCAGTCAAGTAAATGTAAACGTAAATGTATGGGTTTTGTTAAAATTTACCCCAAATTAGTGAGAGATTTTTAAATGCTCGGTCTGGGTGGGAGGGGGTATAATTTGCCTCGGGAGTAAAATTGGTGTTTGGAAAGGGGTTTCATGAAAGGATGTAAAGCCAAACGAAATTTAAATTTGTTTTGTTTTGCATAGATTCCAAGCCTCACTCCCAGGAGAAAAAAGGAGGGTGTCACCGCGAACTGCTCTGCCGAGGAAGATAAAGAAAATACTCCGTCCGCTGGAGGACCTGGACCCGGGGCGGAGGGGCGCCGCGGCCTGGCTTCTGGAGCCCTGGCGAGCCTGTTCTCTATTCCAGATGGCTCGCGCTGCCCTGCTTGCCCGCCTCTTGGTCTCTCGCTGGCCGGACCGAGACGTCTGCAGATACCTTGGCCCAACCCCTCCGGGTCCCGTCGCTCTCACAAGCTGCTCCAAACTCCCCAACCCCGCGAGGCCGGAGACCCCAGGCATCCGGAAGCCTGGGGCTCCTTGAGGGACAGTCCAGGCCCAGCCGCCCGGCGGGTTTCCCTGAAATAGCAAACTTCTGCCGGAAGGGGGCGACCTTGCCTTTTTAATAATCCACAAACTCACATTGGTAGCGAAATAAATCTCTAAAATCCCAAAGTTTTGGTTCGTTCTGAAATTATTGCGAACGAATAATACAACGAAACTTTAAGTCCCTGGTAGCGGAGAAGTTAGAGCCCCGGGAGGACAGGGTCTCGAGGTCTCTGACTCCTTTCAGGGCTCCACCTAGGCTGGCTGGGTTAGTCCAAGTGTCAGCCCCTTTTGCGGTCTTTCCTCTCCTCTGGAAGGGGCCCCGCACCATAAAGCCCCCTTCATTTCTCCCGCACCCTGCCCACATCCCTATGTGCACTGAAGTCTGGCCACTTCTGAAGCGGCGAGGGAGGGGTCCGCACACACTATCCTTGAGGACCCCTGAAGTTAAAAGCTACTTGCTTGAGACTTTGCTTAGAAGAGAATGAAAAGCAGGAAGTAACTTCCTCTGAGCCAGGTGCTTTATCAAGGAGCTTAAACGGACCCGGGAGTTTGGAAGGGTTTGTTTTGTTTTGTTTTTTAATCACAAAATTGACACCTCCCCTCTTCTCCCTTAAGCAGACACAGTCAAGGAGTCCCAACAGGGGAGGGTGACGGCCACCTCTGGAGCCTTTCCCTCTTGGCCCTGGGTTCCTCTTTGGTAAATAGATTAAGGAGAATCTGAGTTGCTTCTCAACTCATTCCCAGGAAAGGAGCCAGGACTAGAATCCCACCTGACAGCAGGAGTTGTAAACGTGCCTTGGCCACGCCGGGCTTCCTGGAGAACTAGGAGGCTGAGCCAGCTCTGAGACACCATTGAGACAGTCACTGCCGGCATCACCAGCTGCTCCTGGTGGTGTCTGGGATCGTGGGTTGTACAGGTCCTCTCCACTTCGAGCCTGGGCTCTGGATCACAGGGAGTGTGTCGGCCCAGGCAAAGGAAGATCCAGGGCAAACCCGCTGACTTGGCCGTGCAGCCAAGGTGGTGAATCCCACAGGGCAGTGGGCCCAGGTACGTGACATGAGGGAGCCCTCACAGAGGCCAAGGCTCCGTGTCAGGGTCCTGGGTTCTGCAGCTCTGTGAACAGCATGTCTGCCCCAGGTGTCTGCAATTCCACATGTTCAGTCTCTTGTCTATGTGGATGGAGAAAAGAGAATTGGTGCCAACATGATCCTCCTCCAGGATTCAGGGTAGTTGGACCAAACCAGCACAAAGTGAAAAGGAAAGAGATCTGCAGCCACTCTTGCCTAAGACACCTGACCTGGGTCTTTGGGCTTCTGCCACCCACTGTTTTTTCACCCACAAAAGGGCCTGAACCATCTCCCAGGCTTCAGACCCACAACTTCTCCTGATGTCAAGTAGAAGCAAAGCAGAGGGAGAATGGGTGGTGAAGCGCCATTTTCTGGTTTTCTTTCCAGCCTGGCTATTCCAGTGTGTTTGTAATGTGCCTGCCAATAGGGTAGCATTCTACTCCCTAGTTCTGTAACTATCTGTGTCTGGGAGGGGCACGTCTACAAGGCCACAAATACCTATTTCATGCGACTCCCAAATGCCCCAATGAACTATAACCTGGACAGAACCACCAGGATTGTTAAGGGAAGACTTGGAAAGTTTAGGGGAAGAAATGAGAGATGGTGAATTATCCGTGAGCTTTCTCAAACTCAGTTTTTCTGGAGGCAGGAGGACTCAGGAGGGCAGTTCACTGGCTTCATTTTCACACAAGGACGAAATCTAAGAGTTAAGGATGGGACTTCTGAGACCTCAGCATACAACCCAGGGTGTGGACAGGGAGGGACGGAGAGCTACCCCCCAGTGTTGTCCATCCTGCCCAGGAGTCATCTTAGAAAAATGCCAAATGAGCAATGGTAGTCACAGGAGTGAATCTGCCTTTTCTCCTATCTGCTGCAGTCACTGGGGTGGGGGATAGGATTTGGAAATGGATGTGGATGCAAAGGAAGCTTCCCTGCCTTGGGTCTCCCTCCAAGTTTATTTATTATCAGCTCAATCCCTGCAAGCAGTTTCTCAAGTGCTCTTCAGAGCTCTAGATAAAAATTTGAAACTAATTATCATGGCAACTCATACTGGTTATGGTGACTATTACCACTACCAGGATGAATGATTGTGACTGGCGACAGGTCCTGTGGGTGGTATGTCCCTCTGGTGGATTGGACTGTAACTCTGGGCCTCACTGGCTCCCTAAAACATATGGGGGCACCCAGGCCATCCCTGAGGAACAGCCCAGGAGCTGTGGCCTGGGAAGAGTGCAACCTCTGGGAGCCCCTTGGCAGAGTCCTGCGCTCCAGCCTGGCGCTGGCAGGCTCCTGGTCTCCCTAGGATACTTCTATTTCTCCCCCACTCTCCCAGCCAGGGATCTCCCTCACAGAGTAGTGCTGGTCTTGACCTTGGCAAGGACTTTCTTCTCCTTAACCCTGCGGTTCTGAAACCAGATGGTGATCTGGCGCTCTGAGAGGCTGGTGGCCGCAGAGATCTTGCGCCTCTTGTCCTTGGTGATGAACTTATTAGCTGAATACTCGCGCTCCAGCTCCCGCAACTGCCCTTTGCTGTAAGGAATGCGCTTCTTACGGCCACGTCTGAAGGCACAACCATCAGGAGGGTGCTGTGTGCCTGACTCTGCCATGGAAGAAGAGAGAGAGAGCCACACTCAGACCTCCACCCACAAGCCCATGCACAAACGCAGGCCCTACAAGCTAAGCAATCCTATGGGAGCACCCAGACACAACCACTCCCCCAAAGCACTGGGGGGACACCTTGACTTCTGGCTGTTTTCTGATGACCACTTAGGTTTTGAAAGACCAGGTTCCTGCAAGCCATCCTCACTCATCCCTGTCCTCAGCATTGCAGGTCTGCAAACACACCCATCACACCCTGCCAGACCTTTGCCCACAGTCACATATATCCACCCTCACATGCATTTTCAGACTCTTGGCCACTCTCATAGATTCTACAGGCGAATTAAGTGCAGAAAGGAACACATTTCTGCTCCCACTCCCAATACACACACACACACACACACACACACACACACACCCAACATGCACACAACACACACACACATACACATGCCCCTAAGTTATGACTGCAGGGAATCTAAATTTTCCTTTAGAAACTGAAAAATTGGGATCCCTGGATGGCTCAGCAGTTTAGAGCCTGCCTTCGGCCCAGGGCGTGATCCTGGGGATCCAGTCCCACATCAGGCTCCCTGCATGGAGCCTGCTTCTTCCTCTGCCTGTGTCTCTGCCTCTCGCTCTCTCTCTGCCTCTCTGTCTCTCTCTGTCTCTCATGAATAAATAAAATATTTTTAAAAAAGAAACTGAAAAATTCATCTGAAAGAAAATGAGGGTTTGTATTCTTCACAGAACATTCAATGTCCGTGTTCCTACCCACCCCATCCCCATTACTCACTGAATAGAGAGTCATTTAGCCTTTTGGTAGAATTAACCCTCGGATCTGCGAGGTAGAACAGCCTGATTCCCGTCAACAGCAAAAAGAATCAAACACTTGGACATATTGAAAAGCAGGTCCCAAGGCCTCCTAAGGAGATGAAGGTACCTGGTAGCCCACAGCCTTCCAATAGCACCGAGCTCAGGCCCCTCATGCTGACCCTCTGGGGCCTCCACCCTGTCTCTTCGTCTGCCTGAACCCTCCTTCAGCGTCCTAACAGCCAACCGATGAGCACAAGCTCCTCCTCACAGGCCCCAAATCTCCCTGCACTTCCTCCCCCTGCGAGCACCAGCAGGGCCTACCACCCACAGTCAGCACCAAGGGGACCCAACAAACATAGTGGGGCAAGTTACCTGCAAATGCTGCCTTCCAGAAGGCACTGGGTGGGTTCTGCTCCCCCTGGCAACACATCTGGCCGTTCCAGCCACCGGTGAGGGCCCAGGGCTGGTAACTGTCCACAGGCAGCAGGGAGTCGTGGCGAGGCTCCCCGGGGGCTCCCAGAGTCTGCACCACCGACACATCCAGGTAACTGGCCATTGGCTGGTAGGGTCCCGGGTACCCAGGATAGAAGGCAAACTCGGTGGGTCGGCTGGGGTACTCCTCCCCGGCCGTGGCCGTCTCCGCGGGGTAGGCAGCTAGGGTGGCCGCCTGGGCACAGGGTTTTAGCGAGCTCCGGGCCACCCGGCAGGAGTAGTACCCGCCTCCAAAGTAGCCATAAGGCACCGGAGCCGGGGCCGCCCCCTGGGGCACCCCGGGGCAAGGGTGGCACTGCTTCGGCGGTTCCGTGGAGCCCGGCAGATCCAGCGGCGCGTAGCTGGCAGCGGGCATCAGCGGAGGCGCCGCGGCCGGGTGGCTGGCCAGCGGCGAGGGGGCCACGAGATTTCGACCCCCTCCCACGACCGACAAGCCTTCCAGGTCCTTGGCCCCGTCCAAGGTGGCATAGTCGCCGGGCTCCATGGGGCCGAGGGTCCGCTCATGGGGCGCTGGGGAGGGGGGGTCCGGGGGGCACCCAGCTGTCTCTCCCCACCCAGGCCCCGGGAATCCAAGGCGTTTTAAATCGCTCCCAGCTCTCACGGCGCTGCATTCGCTCAGCCCGGCCGTCCTGACGCAGGAGACGCAGGTGCCAGGGCACGCGCGCTGATTGGCTGCGGCCTGCCGGAGAGAGGCTAATAAAATCTTCAGGGCAGAAATTGCGAAAATACTTTACCCCTGCTCCTCTCTGTCTCTTCTCCTCCCTCCCTCCCTCCTTCCCTCCCTCCCTCTCCCTCCCTTCGTCTCTCCCTCTTTCCCTCTCCCTCACTTTTATTGCCTGTGAAAACAACGCAGAGGAAAGCTGCTGTCCAGTTTGGAGCTACCCAGCTGGGGGGGGGGGGCGGAGAGGAGGGAGGCGGAGGGAGAGAAGACAGGGGCCCATCCCACCTCCGCCGCCTCCTCTCCCTCCCTGGCTGTCTGTCTCCGGTGCTTTGGCAGGTTTAACGAGAGAATAAAAAGCTCCCCCTATAAAACGTGCGTCTCAAGGGGAAGGGGGGCCGGGGAGTCGGAGGGGGCCCGGGAGGCCGCTCTGTGCCTGAAAGGGGAACCTGGGAATGTGCCTGAACCAGAAGAGGCTGGGAAATGGGGGCCAAAGGGTATTTCTGGGAGCCCCCGGGTCTGGGTCCTGGCTACAAGCAACCCGGTTCATTCCAGGTGCCCCTCCTATTCCGGATGCGCGTAATACGCTGCCCAGGGAAGTGCCTGGCAAGCCCCTTCCCCGGGGATCCCAGCTCCCGCCCCGCCCTCCCGGATCAGGGTGGGGCAGAAGGAGAGGGAGGGGGACAAGAGCTCGGAAGAAGACGAAGACGGGACATCTGGAGCCTGGGACCTGCAAGGGTCAGATCTGAAGGGGAAATGAAGTTTCTAGATGTAGCCTGTGAAAGGGGAGTCTGGATTTGCATTTAATGGTGGGGAGAGAGATATGTAGGAGAGAGGACACGCATGACCTGTATATTCAGAGAGAGAGGCAGGGACAGCAGCACAAAGGGAGAAAGAGACAACTTGAAGGAGGGAATGGGATCTTATAAAATCCTGAACTACCAGCCGGAAAAGAGGACCTCTTCCCTCCCTCCTTTTCTGAGATCTAAGGAATTTCTGCGAAGCCAGGCCTAATTGGCCATGCATTAGTTGCAGGGGTTCTGGACCCCAAGAAAGAAGAAGCCTGCACTGTGTGGAGATGTCTAGCCTCTCTGCCCTGGGGTTCTCCTCTTATGTTCCAAGAGGCCCAGGTGACTCACTCTGACCGTCACACATTCCTACCCAAGCTGAGTATCCAGAAAGCCCAGGACCCCTATCTGCTTCCTCCAGGCTTTCCACTTCCTTAGAAGGAAAAAGGGATTGGAGAGAGAGCCCCACCATTGCAAGAATTGCTGGAGGCCCCTCTGTTGAGCCTTTTTTAAAAAGAGATATTTTATTTATTTATTCATGAGGGACAGAGGCAGAGACAGAAGCAGAGGGAGGAACAGGCTCCCTGTGGGGAGCCTGATGGCAGGACTTGATCCCAGGACCCCAAGATCATGCCCTGGGCATGAAGGCAAATGCTCAACCGCTGAGCCAACCAGGCATCCCTGTTGAGCCCTTTCATACAGAGCAATTCAGAAGACTCAAACCAATTTGTTTCACAAATCTTCAGAGGTTTTGTTTCCTTCGCTACCCCTCCCAAATAAAATCCTTCTGAGTCTACTTTTTCTAGAACCCCTCAGATTTTCTGGAGAAGGCAGGAAACTTTCCTTTCCACACCAGCGTGGTGGCAACTGTGTGGAACAAACCACTCTGACTCAAGGTGGGCTTTGCCATGCCCAACCTTACCAACCTGAACCTGAACCATCTTTCAGAAAATGGCTCATGCAAACTGAAATTTTCCCAAGCTGTGGGATTGTAGTGGAGATTATATCTCACCCTCAATGAAAATTGCTAATAATAGAAGACACCAAGCACAAAATTCTCACTAGATTTTATTGTATTTGAAAACCCTATGAGAGGAAAAGGAGAAGATATCTCTTTGATGCCTTCTAGTTTCTTGTCATAGCCTCTTGTTTGTCTAATAATGAAGTGCAGAATTACCAGGATTTGTACCTAAAAACTAAAACGTTTTCACTTTGTTATTGTGTGTATGTGTGTTTTTAAAGTAGACTCTACACCCAATGTGGGGCTTGAACTCACAACCCCAAGATCAAGAGTTACATGCTCCACCAACTGAGCCAGCCTGGTGCCCCTTTTCACTGGTTTTTACTTGGTAGATGACAGTACAGACATATAAATTCAGAAATAAATAATTCTATTTGTAGCTTATAACCCAGCAATTTCATTCCTGTACATATACCCAATAGAAATGAATGCTCATGTCCATCAAAAGGCACGTACTAGAATGTCCAAAGCAGCTTAATTCACTGGAGCTAAAAAACAGAAACAACCCAAATGTCCACAGGTAGTAGAATGGGTAAGTAAATCATGCTATAATTAAAGAATGGAGTAATATGTAGCAATAAAAAAATACTACGACTACACACACACAACATGGATGAGTCACACAGATATGTGAGTGAAAGTAGCCAGATGCAAGAGTGTAACTATTGTATGATTCTATTTCTGTGCAGTTCAAGAACAGGCAAAATTAATCTGTGGTGATAGAGGTCAGAGGAGATTACCCTGGGAAGGAAGGTTCCTGACTCAGAGGTGACCTAAGGAAGCCTTCTGGGGTGCTGGAAATGTTCTTGATCTCAATCTGCTCGCTAGTTACATGGGTGTGTTCACTTTGTGAAAATCCAATCCGTATACTTGATGTTTCTGCACTTTACTGTACATCAGTTTTATCTCTATTTTTAGAAGGAAAATAATTAAATATAAGAATTTAAAGACTCCTAGCAACACTACCTGTCTTTGTGATTTGGGGATGTAGTGTTCTAGTTCATGTGTGTGAAACTCTGCAGCTGTGCTGTTCACTCCTATGGAAACAGATACATTCCAACACAAATAAATACTATAGGATTTTTGTTTCTGTGTTTGTCATACTCTGCAATTTATTTAGTATCTACTAGATCCCAGGGAATAGTTCTGGATATCATATTTATTAGCATACAAGCATGTGTTCCCATTTCCTGTACACATATATGTATGTGCATCTGTCTGTGACTTATCATAGATCTTAGCTGTCAATCCGATAAGGTAGGACTAATTCTCCTTATCTGTAAATATTATCTGCCTCCTTATGGGGACGATGATTTCTACCTCACAGGAATGCTGTGAAGACTAAGTGAAATTTTGCACTTGAGAGCATTTTATAAACTGAATAAAAATGAGCTCTATGTGTGCTTCTGTAAGTGTATCCGTGTCTAATGAACAATAGCCACCTGTTCTTATTTGAAGAGAAAAGGACCGTTGCCCTAAATAGAGTACTGGTCACTTCTCACTTGCCTCTCATAGCCCTGGGTATGCCTGAGACTCCCACGAAGAGAAACTGAGGCTCAGAGCCTCCAAAGCCTCCCGGGAGCTCCACGTGAGCTCCGCTAAGGTCTCAGAACAACCCAGACCTCCTGACCTCCCAGCCTGCGAGGGCCGGAGCCAACCCTTCCCCCAGCCCCGCAGACGCCTTTGTGTCCTGCTGGGAGCCTCCGCTCAGACCCTCCGGGGGACCCCCGCCCCCCGCCAGCCGCCCCCTCCCGCACCCCCGGCTAGCATTATGGACCCAGCCAAACGCGCTGAAAGCCTCAGCGGCTCCTTTACATACCGCCCAGACACCTCCAGGAAGGTCAAGGCCAAGTTGAAAGTTAAGAGTCTGTTTACCTCCGGGAGCCCATTCAGCGCGGCCCCACAGACAGCCTCTGACCTTTACGGCCCGGCCTTTGAGCGCGGCCGCCGCGCCCCCAGGGGTTCCGGCCACCAGGACTTGGAACCTCGGTGTCAGCTCCCCCCCCACCCCCCAGCACCCACCCCCCCAGCCGGGGCTCGGGCGCCAGCGAGGGAAAAGGGGCGAGAGGCGCCCACTCGCCCCACCGGGGGCATTTGTTAAATTATGCTTTTTTTTTTTTTTTGCAAAGCGAGATGGGCGCCCAGTGGCTTCCATCAGCGCCCCGTGGCTTCCATCTCGCACCTGGAACGACGTCTAAGATCGCACGACCGCAGGCCTCGGGTCGGCCGCGGAGGATAATGAGAATTTATCTGTGGCGCCGACAATTCCTGTCCTGAAAAGGTCGGGGCTCCGCTGCGCTAAACTGCTTGGCGTCGCTTCCTTTATAAAAAAGGCCTAACGCGGTGTGCTCTATTCTTCCCTCTTTTCTAATATCTTTCCTTCCCCTCGGTGTTTTCTTTCGTCTGTCTTTAGTCTCTTGGTATCTTTCTTTTCATCTTTGTTCTCCTTTCTGCCTTTCTTCCCTTCGATTTTAATGAGTTTTCTTTTCGGGAGTTCTTTCTATCTGTCTGTGGTGCTTCCTTCCTCTCCCCACCCCATCCTGGGGTCCTTTTACTTATCTTTTGATCCTCTTCTCGCAACCTGTCCCTTACACTATTTTTTCTTTGTTTGCTTTTCCCTCCTTTCATTTTTTCTTTCGTTTTCTTTTTTCCTTCCTCCTTTTCTTTCTTTCCTTCTATTTCTTTCTATTTTTTTCTATTTCTTTCTCCCTTATCCCTGATTTACTGTTCTCTGTCCCCTTCCCCCCAGTACACTCACTTTTTTTTTTTTTCCCTTTCCGGTCCTCTCAATTTTCCATTGTTCTTCTCCCAAGTCTGGAAGGGGCCTGTGGGGCGGCAGCTCTCCGGCAGGCAGCGGGGAGCCTGCTCCTGGCAAGTCTGCAGGGAGGCCTGGAGCCAGTGGCCCGCCGCAGAGCCCTGCCAGCTGCTGGGGCTGAGAGGGAGTCCAGGCCCTTCTCTCGGAAATGAACTCAACCGGGGACTCTCCCGACCTTTGAGAAAAGTCTTTGGGAAAATTT